AAAGAAAAAAAGAAGAAAAATAAGGTAGGAATGGGGGGGGCAGGGCGGGGAAACCCAAACCCCGTTGGGGACGGGGATGGGTACCCTGATTTTACCCCCAGCAGGTATCGGGAGTGGGGGCAGGGGCGGTTTAACTTAGGATTGAATACCTTAGTGAGTGTAGAAATTATCCTATCCTCTTTGTGAGAGTTATACGCACTCAAAAACATTCATCTATTGTAAAGCCTAAAGTGGCTATTTGAAAGAATACTTGGTGAACCAGAAGTGGTTTAAGAATACTAGCGTCGATGAGTGAATGTTGACGAACCAGAAGTGGTTAAGAATACTTGGTGAACCAGAAATGGTTTAAGAATACTAGCGTCGACGAGTGAAGTTGACGAGTTAGAAGTGGTTGAGAATACTTGTAATCTATTGTGATTAGTGGAACCCTTCATTTGAAGGAGACTAGACGTAGCTCAAGTTGAGCAAACCAGTATAAAAACTCTTTGCACTCCTTATCTTTTCTTAGATGCAGTTTTACTTATCTATTATACCATACTTAAGTTTTCATTCACTAAATCATTTTTACCATATCTATCTTCAGATGAAAAATATTTTTTCTTGACTTATTACCTTAAAGAAAATTTTCCTTTAAAGAAATGTTTTTAGGTGCAGACGATAAATTCTTTAGACGAAAAATCTTTTACCGAGCCAACCTAACACAATTTTTGAATATCCAAGATAATACTACTTTTAGCCAAAGAAAAAGGAGGATTTATTTGTGACAAAGATTTTAAATTTCCTTCATTCTCACACACACACATTCAACCCCTCCTTCTGTGTGTTTTCCGCTAACTTGAGCTTCAACAGTTGACATAACTTGAGGGGCTACCTCAAGTATCATTTGCGTTAATGGGCCTTATTATGGGTCTAGGACAAGTACGATTTGTATAAATAATGATGATTAGAGACAGAAAAAGGTACTTTTGCATTATTACTAGAATTAACTACCATTGATTTTTCTAATCCTAAAGATTGACTTAAGCGTTGAAGTGTCTTTTGCAAGTACCCCTTTATCCCACTCGGGCAGGTATAACAAAAAACTATCAAGTGTATTGCAAATGACAGGTTAATACTACTAGGATGAGGATAAAGAATAAGAAAGATAAGAGTTACAAAATTATCGATGTATCATCATGCAGGTACACATTCTAAATCTTTGTAATAAGTTTCTCTAAATTTAGCAAGTTCTTCTTGGGAAAATGTTTTAAAAAACCGACTATGCTTTGCTTTATTCTTTTCACCAAGAAATTTTTTCCTTGGAGTCTTTATCAATTTTGAAATTTTTATCATATTCAATTAAATAAGGTATGAAAAGGTTGAAGAGTTCTGATTTTCAAAATTTTTTTATTTCATATTTAGGTGTGTTGAGCTTAGGAGAGCTTGAATCTTAAAGGAGTTTTGATGATCACAACAAGTATACAACAACAACTTGGAGCACAAAAACAAAGTCAAAGAAGAGTCAAGAAAATGCTATGAAATGGAGCTATGTAATAGAGCTTAGGAAATAAATTGTTTTGAATGTGTTTTTATATTTTGTGTGCTTAGTATGCTTTGTGCATAATCAAATCTTATCTAAACTAAGTAGAGAGTATATGATGATGAGTTAAAAACATTGGAAAGTTATTTTGAGTCTTAAAATGAAGTTTTAAGAACTAACTCAAAATAATCGATTATTGTTAAATATAATCGATTATTCCAGCTAATAGGCTAAGTGGAATGCCTTGCTGTAATAATCGATTATTTGCCAAAATAATCGATTATCCCAGGAACAACTCTCTGGAATAATCGATTATCCAGCTAAATAATCGATTATATTGTTCTTGGTTGGTTTCCAGAAAACCTGAAGAACAAAATAATCGATTATTCTTTAAAATAATCGATTATCTGTGTCTGAAACTTTTATAAATAGTTTGAACTTTGAGAAACTTCAGACAAGAGTTAGAACTGATAATCAATTTGTGAAAAACGTTTTTGTGAGTCTTTGTGACATCTTGGAGAGTTTTCTTTGTGAAATCCAAGAGTGAAAACGTTTGTGAAAAGCTTTGGTAGAAGATCATCATCATCATATTCTTGAAAGGGGAAGATAAAGATTTGTTCAAGAATTCCAGGTGAATTCGTTCCTTTTATTCTTTGTGAATCTTTGTGGAAAATCTTGAGAAGGGTTTCTCAAGTAATAAGGTTTCTTGTAGTGGGTTCTACAAGGGGTGCTTTCTTGGGGTCAAGAAAGTGGTTATCTTTTAGTGTTGAAGTATATGCATGTGTGTGTGCTTGTAAACCTTCTTGCTTAAAGATAGTGGAACAAATCTTAATCAGGTGTTGATTAAGGACTGGATGTAGGTCACATGTGGAGTGGCTGAACCAGTATAAAAGACTTGTGCAATCTTCTTCTACCTTATCTTTTACTTTGTGTAATTTCTTGGTTGAACTTTAAAGAAGATAAAACTTGATTAACAAGTGTATGTGAATCTTGATGGTTTAAATCTGTAATTGAACATTATTGTTGAACCTCATTATGTTGTAATCAAGTGAGCATATTGCATTCATATTTTTGTAACAAGTCTTTAGAAGAGCTTCATTTGGAAATTCTGTCATAGAAAAGTTTTGATTGAAATTAAGATCCAAAATACTCTGATAAATTTTTAAAAGGGTCATTGAATCCAATTCACCCCCCCTCTTGGATTGTGCCATTCTTTTCTAACAAGGTGTTGGTATTATTGGGTCTGGGTTCATACCTTTCAAGGATAAACCTCTACTAATAGAAACACTAGATCTAGGTCTTTTTAAAGAGGATCTAGCACTATGGAAATTAGAAAGTCTAATAGAGTTAGTTTTTCTAAGGGGTGTAAAAAAAAACTTCTACTACTCCTTTAATATCCAAGCAACTAATAGCCGAGTATATTAAAAATATATAAATATGCACACATAGGATCTATCCAAATTGTAATAAGAACCCCTTTTTAGAATAGGAATAGACTCCCCTGTCTTTGTCTCTTTACAAGATAACATACCTAAGAATTTACAAGATCGAATTTTAGCCTTGTTTAAAACCAACCTTTATCAAGGCCCTTTTTACATTAATAATTACGAAAATTAATTTATAGCTTTGTTAAGTTTCCACAAATACTAATTACAATATTCTTATAGATGTTAAAATGATAGATGAATACTAGAACCCTAGAGCAATTCCAATTACTATAATTACCATTTTTACTATACAGTTATGAAAACCCATTTGTCCCTATTCTGAAAAATACTCTATTTCAAAATATTATGAATAATATTCTAAATCCTTATTCTGAAATACATATATTTATATACACACATACATATACATATACATGTGTATGTGTGTACATTTATACATATTCACACATATACATATATACACACACACACACACACACACATATATATATATATGTGTGTGTGTGTGTGTGTGTGTATATATGTATATGTGTGAATATGTATAAATGTACACACATACACATGTATATGTATATGTATGTGTGTATATAAATATATGTATTTCAGAATAAGGATTTAGAATATTATTCATAATATTTTGAAATAGAGTATTTTTCAGAATATATTATATATATATATATATATATACACACACACACGCACACATATAAATAAATTTAAAAACTTCTATAACACTTCTAATAATATTATGTTAGACATGAAAATGATGGAAGATGAATGAAATCAAAATTAATTTCTAATTCCTATAGTCTATAGAATAAATTATAAGGTAATGAAAACTCAATTAGCCCTTGGAGCATTGTTAATGTCTCCAAAAGATGAAACCACTTTACTTATAGTAAATCCAGAAAAGGTAAATGTAGTTGCTCCTAAAAATTTTAAGACATAATGAAATACTAGTAGTTTAAAATGAAAATTTTAAAATGATTATGTGTATAAGAGATGGCATTGATCAATGAAGAAATATCAGGATGCATGATATGATAATCATTATGAAGGATTATTGTGATGTTGAGGATAAGTCCAGGGCTACAATTTGGCAAGTTACATTTAATAGTTGTGATATGTGTGTGATGTTATAGTTTTAGAGTCCATGCATACATGTTTTCTTGTAGGATAGTGAGTCTATGCAAGTAGGTCTCAAAATTCATCTATCTAAACCTTGAGTGGTATTATAGTTGGGAGCCTCTAACAAGAATGGGTGGTAACCATGACCGGCTGTAACACTATGACATGACCTTGATAGGAATCCCTTGGTTGAGGATGGAGCAGGGGGGATCACCATAGATGAGGTGGTCCCAACACCATAGATAGGTCACGTTCCATGGCTTCTAGACTATCTTGAGTTGAGGATGAGGAGATTGTTATCAGATACATGTAGAATTAGGTTCATGCATTTACGCAAGTATATATTGTAACTGCAATTGATTGAGTGGCCTGAATTGATATAATTGAGATGAGTATTGTCTTTGATGATTGAGGATGAATACCAATGAATGTATGAAGTTTAAATGTGATATTTGTTTGCTTAGTGCTTTTCTTATGCTTCATATGTACTATACATGGATGATATGTATTCCTATTTATTATTTTGTGTGTTTGGGTTGATTGTCAATTGCAAGCTTAGATCATATACTAGAGGGGGAATTTGATAGAGGCAAAACTTGATGCTTCATTGGTTGTTCCAAGATCTTACTCTTATAACGTGACATTAGGGTTAGAGAGTTCGTGTTTCCTTTAGTTTAATAGAGATTACCAATTTTATGTTTCTTTTTTGTATTGTTGGAATTTTATGCAGCTAGGCATTATGTGACCAAAAATTATTTCTATTAAATTTTTTTCAATAAAAATTACTTATTTAAGATTTGAGGTAGAAAAGTATCACATATGGTATTTAACAAATTTATGATTTTTATCTAACCCAAATAAGATTTCAAATAAAGTGAACCATAAAGATATAATTAGCTACTCACATCATACCAACGCAACTCGTCTTGTAATTGAAATGCCACACCAGCTAAGCGTCCAGGTTTGTAATAGTCCATCCTTGCAACTTCGTGCAAGATTGTGCGACCTTTGTCTGTGATTTGAGGAAACAAGGATTCAAGTGCACCTTTTTTTCTAATGATTCGAATAACCTTTTTCTGACGATATTGGATAGCCCTAGCCCATTGACAATAAAAAAACAAAAAGATAAGCATGAAAGTAAAAAAAAAAGAAAAAATTAATTAATTTAATACACACTATCAAAAGTTTCAATTAATTACTAAGAAAAATAAAAAATTAAAAACTAGACATTGAATTTACCTTTATTGATACAATATTTGTCTAGTAAAATTAGAGGAGTTTTACTAACAAACTATTTACTATTAGTTAAAATTTATTAGAAATTACAAAAACATGAAAAAAAAATTTATGAATAAAAAGTAAGACTTCCATAATTTATTATTTCTCTATATGGGTTAAACTTACATGTTCAATATGTTCTGCCCATGTTTAGTAACATGAAAGATAGCTGAAGGATTCGCTTCAAGGATTTTTTCAACAATTTCTATGATTCCCGTTTTAGCTGCCATGAGTAATGGTATTCGCTCATGAAGAGATTCTTTATCAACCTTATGTCTCTCTTGCCTCTTACTTTCACTTAACCTTCTCCTTTTGGCCACATTGAAAGGAAGATGTGGCATTGTAATCAATGTTATCCATTTATGGTCATTATGAGATATTTGCCAGGATAAATCATATTGCACTAAAATATTTGCTAGACTTTCAGCTAACTTATGTTTTTTCTTTTGCTTCCACATATGATCAAGCCCTTCAAACTCTGCAATATCAATCAATCATAAAGAAAAAAATAGGACATATGTTTAAAACTTCAATAAACAATTGTGGTTTAGAAATAAAGCATACATTTAGAAAACTTTTATAACTTATCCTTTAGATGAAGGTTTCAAAATCCAATTGACAAAATATTTGTATGAGACTAATGGTTATCATTATGAATCTCCTAATTAGTGGCACAAGCTGACTTATCTCAAAAACTCGAAGGATTATATCCTCTTAATTAGGTAACCCTTAGCTTATCAATTTCTAGCTCATCAATTCAAGATGTTGACATCACACAAATATAAAAAGAACCAAACAAGGAAGGTCTATTACTATAGCAACTATTGTATACACACAAATGTAACATGTAACCTTTGCACACAAACAATTAAAAAATAACACTCATTAAAATAAAATAAAAAATAAATAAAAAAGACACAACAATAAAATTTGATTTGAGTCACTTGAACTCTTCCCATTTCACTCCACTATTACCAAACCCTTTAACCCATACATCTTTCATGAAAATTTCCACCTTGTTAACATACTCCTCCGTCTTAATCAAATATTTTACTTCCTCGGTCTTCCATCTTTTTTACATTGCATATTGTAATATCTATGCATGCATGTCACAAAAATACACAAAATAATATTAGACAAAACCTCAAGGATAAACTAATTGCTATAGTTAGTAAGATCACAAAATCTAAGGGTATGTCCAACAGGCAAGGTGAAAAAATCAAAATGAAAATGATGTTAGTTGGAAGACTTGAGGCCATTTGATTTTAGAAAATGGTTTTTCGTCATATTATTTGTTTTCACACATGTTTTTTGTCATCTTGTATTCTTGTTTGTTTTAGGAGAAAACAACTTTTCATTAATTTTTGTTTTCATTTTCTATTCTCACTACTTCTTACTTAAACTTCTAAAATTAAGAAACAAAGTAAAGACAAAGTGACATTTTTTAATTTAAAGTGAAAACAAATATTCACTAGTTATTGTTGGATAGAGGGAGGAAATAGGTGAACAATTGAAAATCTACTTCAAGCTCAATTTCTTTTCACAAAGGAGGGCAAAAAATAGTGAGGGAGACGAAAACATGTGTTGCACTCCAATTTTTACTATGCAATAATTTGACTTTAACCAACATTGTGTAATTTTTTTCCTTCAAACTTTTCACTAACCTAGCTAAACTAAGCATGCCCATCCAACCTATTCTTTATTTGGGTCCATGTTGACTTAGTTTGTTAAAAACAAAAGTTATGTTTTGGTGAATGGGCCAAAAGCCCATTATTTTCAATATGCTAAGTTTTATTAGCATTAAATGTGGTGACTCTTGTAGATGAACCCTAGAGAAAGAAAAAAAATCAAATAGTAGTACGTGGATTTTTGTGCATTGTGCAACAAAGAGAAAAAGAAGAATTTTCTGAGAAAGAGTTGCAAGTAGCTTGGAGAAAAGTGGTTGGTACCATTTTTGTGTGTTTTGGTTTTCCCTATTGTCTTTTTAAATACCCATTTGAGGGTTTTCTTGTATGGTTATCCACCCTAATGGTCAGGAGTGTTTTTATAATGATCCAAGATGGTTCCAAGAGGATTTGTGGTTTATCCATTACTTATTATTAGTGAAGTTTTTAAAAGACTAGGTCTTGTGGGCTTTTACCTCACATTAAGGGTTTTTCTACATTAACATTTGGTGTTTATTAATTTCTTTTTTTTTGTACGTCCTATTATAAGTCTTAAATTATCAGATTGCTTCTAAAGCTTATTATTATTTTCACGAGAGAAAAGAAGATCCAATTTTGTTTCCACTTAATTGTCATTATTTGTTATCTTTCCCCAAACAACTAGTATCAGAGCTTCAATTGGTGGCTCAAGTTTATTTTTTGAAGATTGGTGAAGGTGATGTCCCTAGTATAGTGATTAAATTTGATTCCACTAGTTACTCTATTTAGAAGTCTCAAATGGAAGATTTTTTATTCTCTAGAGACTTGCATGATCCCATTGAGGCTAATGGCACCAAACCAGTTGATAAATCTAAAGAAAAATGGAAGAAAACCATTAGAAAGACCATTGGTATGATCCGACAATGGATACATTAGAGCATCTATCACCATGTGTTAAGTGAGACTATTGCTTTTAACATGGGGAAGAAATTGAGTGAGTTGTTTGAGTCCAAAAATGCAAAGAATATGGTGTTTTTGATTAGAAATATGGTAAACTTGAAATATAAAGTTGGTTCCTCGATGAAGCATCACTTACGAAATTTTCAAAATTTGATGAATGATTTGAATACTATGAATATTGTATTAGATGATTACTTGTTGGCATCATTGTTACTTAGCTCATCACCAAAAAATTAGGAGACATTGGTGGTGTCTCTGAGTAACTATTCTCTTAATGGAAAGCTAACCTTTGATATGGTCAAAGATAGTCTCCTGAATAAAGAAACTCAAAGTAAGGGACAAGGCATAGCTAGATCTTTGACTTATAATGAAGCTTTGGTTGTGGAGTCAATTAAAGATTACTCTACAAATTTATGGCATAAATGTCTTGGTTACTTGAGTGAGAAGAGTCTTGATACTCTTGGAAGACAAGGGTTGTTTCCCATTGAAGGTACATCTCTTGAAACTTGTTATGATTACCTTGTTGGTAAGCAACATTGGATTTTTTTTCGCACTTATTCTCCCTGTAGAATGCCACATATCTTGAATTTAGTTGACATTGATGTTTGTACCATGGATGCTAAAACCCTTAGTGTTTACTCTTGTTTGTCACTTTTATATGTTGATGACCATTCTACAAATGTGTGGGCTTTTCTTTTGAAATCCAAAGATCAAGTACTTAATATGTTCAAACACTTTCATGCATGTGTTGAAAGAGAAATAGAGAAATTATTGAAGTGTGTTAGAGCAGATAATGGTGGTGAAACAAGGGTTCATTTGAGCACTATTGCAAGGCCCATGACACTAAGCTTGAGAAGATAGTTCCAAAGACTCCTCAACATAATGGGGTTAAAAAGGGAATGAACCACACTATTGATGATAGAATCGTATGCATGCTCTCTCATGCTGAATTACCTAAAGCCTTTTGAGGTGAAGCGTTGAGAATTATAGTACACTTGATCAATTGTTTTCCCTCTATTCCTCTTGATAGTGATGTTCTAGAGAGGGTGTGGAAAGGGAAAAATGTCTCCTATATAGAGTCACTTGACAGTGTTTGGCTACAAGGTATTTGTCCATATCCCTAGAGATGAGATATATAAGCTTGATGGTAAGTCTAAATAGTGTATTTTCTTGGGTTATGGTTTAGATAATTTTGGTTAAAGTTTTTGGATTTAGTTGCTAAGAAGATTGTCAAAAGCAAAGATGTTATTTTTCTTGAAGACCAAACCATTGAAGATATTGACAAAAAGGGGAAGCTAAAATAGGTTATTTGTCGGGACGTTGAGTTGATCCATAACCTCCTACAAGGGTCACTAATAATAGGGGAGTACGTGAATGCAGATGTGGAGAATATAGTTGATGTGCCTTAGTTGAGAAGATTTGCTAAAGAGTCTTATTTTTCACAAAAATATTCCCTTGATGAGAATATCACTACTACAAAAAGGATAATCTAAGTCGCTCAATCTAAGTCGGTTTATTAAAAACCGATGTAAAATAAGACGCGGTGACATTTTTATAAATAAAAGGAATGTAATCTAAGACGGTTTAGACAATACCCGTTGTAGAATAGCCTAAACAAATATATCTACAACAGTTTATAGTAAAACCGACTTAGATGTTAAGTGATCTACGTCACTATTTATATCAAAATGACTTAGATGGAGAGCCAAAAATAACCTCGCGCGTTCTCTCTCAATTCATGCGCGCCCTTCGGTCTCCCATCCACGTTCTCTCTGGCCTCCACCTCCTCCGTCCTCCGCTCCTGCGCCCGCCACATACTCTCCTTCCCCCCCTCTTTCCACATTCTCTCACGTAACTATAACTGCCCCTTCCGCTCACTAAACCCTAAACCCTCTATTCTCTATTTCCCTAACTCATTGACTAACTCTCCTCCGCTCACTTCCTCCGCAGGACGTTGCCCCTTCCGCTCGATTGCGGTTGCCTCGATGATTCCGCCATCGTCTCTGTGCAGTAGAATACACGCAATGCCTAAGAACAGGAAGCAACATTTAATGCAAGACCAGATGCATTAAATGAAAGGATCAAACTAGTCATGAACGACTATATTAGCTTCAACGGACATATAGAGCTTAAGCCTCTGCTGAGCAGAAGTGATTGCACCAAGCACAGACTGTCGATTCACCCTGCTCTTGATGTTTGATGCAGTTCCAAACTCATCCCCAAGCATCTTGGTGACACGAGATATTTGATCACGTGGGGGCATGATAAGGGAAATCATACTTGTCCCATTTCCTCTAGCAGCCTCAAGAGCTTTGATCAATTTCTTGATTTTCCACACCTCAATGTTCTTGTCAGTCTCATGACCATCAGCCATCTTTAAAGCCTATAACCTTGAAAGAAATAAAAGTACAACAAATCAGCCACATCCATTTCCATTAAGATAAAATTCAAAACATAAAACTGGTGCTTGGTCAAAAACATATCAAGCACAAAGATAAATATAACAGTATCAAAGAGGTATAATTCAATTAAATTACACTTAGAAATCATGGCATCCCTCTGATCATAACTCCCCTTCATCCCTCCAAAATTCATGAAACAAGCACATCACTTCAATTAAGAAAGCAACAGAGAGACACAAAATGCATTTTTTTTTCAGTTTGACACTCACATTAGACGAAAGGTATATATAGAGTCCCAAAATATCCCAAAATCCCCCAAGTCAACTGCCACTTTATCCGCAAGTTGCAACATAAACTACTGTCAAATACAAAACACAGGATCTAAGATGCAGACATATTTAAATCACAATATAACAATTAAACCATCAATATTATGATAAACCCCTTTTTCTCACTCTCCTCCAGGCCTACCTTCTCCCTCCTGTCAAGTTGCAAATAAAAAATTCACACCGCAAAAATCACAACAAAAAAAGCAAATTATAAAATAGAACAAACCAAATACGCAGATGCGCAATAGCGCATATAATAATATTAATAGGCATACACACGTGCATGCCTCTAAAGCATCACAAAACAGAGCATATACAATAAATAACAATCCAAGCCCATCAAATCGATCAATCCAGAAAAACAAACCATATAATAATATCGATGAAGATTACAATGACACAAGTACCAACAGAGCGTGAAAAACTACGAGCAAAACCTAGGAAAAAGCATAAGGAAAAACAATACAATGAAGGATCGAGTGTTAGATGATGGAAATTGCGAAATCGGAGATAGGAATTGGCAAAGAAATGAACCTTTTTGTGTGGCGGCGCGAGGGAGAGAAGAGGCCGCGAGAGAGAAGCGTGCCCTAGCTCAAAACTATGGAATGCTTGATTTGTTCGGAGAGAGTGTGTATTTGGGGGGTTTTGAAGCACGAGCGAACGGCGTCGTTTTGCAGTATTCTGTTCGCTTTTCAATGGCGGTGAGGTGGTGAAATTACCGCTGAGTCCCCACGTTCTTGATTTTTCATCCACTCAAATAATACTTTTTTCCTTGTGTGGTGCAAGATATTTTTGGAATGAATTTTCTTTTTTCTTTTATTTTCAATTTTTTTATTCTTTTCATTATATATTCACGTTTTTATCAAGTTTCCTATTTCAGATTCACACGTAAACACAACCTAGTATTAGTATTAGAAAGATTGGAGAGACTGGTATACACTGAACATTAGTTGGTTGTTAGAATTGTTTTCAAAAATTTTAATCAGGTTTTTATACTTAAAAAAATTCTAATTAGATGTTTTATTTTTTTTTATATTTTTATAATTTGATTTTTGAAATTAGAAATTTGTTTATAATTTACCCTCTTAAAAAAATTTCTCTCATCTCCATTTATTTCTAACAAAATTATATTAAAATTGAAATTTTAATTATTTTTTTAACAATTTTTCTCTCAATTAAAATTTTTAAACTTCATTTTCTTGTTATCATAGATGTTTGTCACAATCATCTTTTGTTTTGCAATATTTTGTCTCCACTTCATAAGTATTTGATGAACTTGTATAGATTAACCATTGCTAGTAAGAAGACTTTTGACACATATCCATCATTAACTTCATCAAGCTATATGAACCAGACTTTAGCATCACTATTTGGGAAAAAAAAAACTTTCCTTCTTTTCTTTATGCACAAGGATGATCGAACACACAAAAATATCATAAAAGATTAAAGAAAGAATGCACAAGATTTATTTAACATGATTTGACCACTACACCCCTTCAAGTTTTACAAATGAAGTTTTGTGGATGAAACTTAGAAATCTCTTCTCATATGACTCTCCTCATTTAGGAAAGTGACCCCTTCTATAAGTTAAGTGATTTTTCTCATCTTGAGAGTCTCTATTTATTGAACAAATATCATAATTTTAAAAAAGGAGATAAATATTTAAAATAAGTACAATGTTTTTTTATTATAAACAATATCCTAAAGATAAGTAATATATTTTTATATCTAAACAATATCTTATAAATTTAAAATTTAAAATTTGAATTGTTTTACCAGTAATTTTATTTCTTATGCAAGCAAAAAATGATTTTGTGGATAAAAGATAAACATTGAGATAGATATAAAAAAAACATAACATAATTGTATTTTGAGATGCTTCAAAAGGTTAATTTATTTATAAAATTATTATTAATTTTAATTTAAATTCAAAATAACTATTTTATTTAATCACATGTTTTAAAGTATGATTAATATAGATTTTAATGAGATATAATAACATGATCGTTATAGTTTTATTTAATTTTAAATGATCAAAAGTTTAAAAAGTAATTTTAAATCTCATGATTGATTAATATAATTAATTGATGTTGATATTGTTATCATGTTGAAAACACAAACCTATTTGAGCTCTTGAAGCTCTCCCTAGTATTAGATTAAGCATATTAACAAATTTTTCACCTAGAAAAGATAGAATTTAGATAAAGAGAGAAGATGACAGGACTTGTGAATCCTACTCATTCTCAAATATTTATAATCATATGATACAACAAATCTTTCTAGTATTAGACTATAAATATAAAACTAATAAATTTTTTGCCCAAAAAAGATAGAACTTAGATAAAGAAAGAAGATAACAATGCTTATGAGTCCTACTCATTTTCAAATATTTATACAAAGAATATTAATCTTCGTGACTATAATTAATTACAAGAATTAAAAATAATTAATTTTAAAATATTTGATCATTTAAGATTAATTAAAATTACAATGGTTGTGTTATTATATTCCATTAAAATCAATATTAATTAGATTTTAAAATCTGTAATTAATAAAATAGTTATTTTGAATTTAAATTTAAATTTAAACTTAAAATTATTTTTAAAATAAAATAACCTTTTAAAATATCTCAAAATATACAACATAGTATTATTATCTTAGCTTTTTGTAACAACTAGACAAGTTATTACACTTAGTATAATATAACACTATGTAATGAAGAACACACAAAATCTACTAAATTAAGGTTATCATAAAATAGGACTTTGGACATTCATACAACAAATATATGTATAGAATGCATAAAACTTAAAATAATCTCTGCCAAATTTGACTTTAAAATAACATAAAAGCCTTATATGGGATTACAACAAAATCCTATACATATGTACTAATGTACATCTAGTATGGAATATTGAGAACATAAAGTCCTAGCACTGGTCAAACATCTCTAAATCCGTTGCATTGAATGCATGGATAAATGTTGCAGAATTCTTATCTAACCTAGTGCAAAATTCTTATTTGCAAAGTAACCAAATGCTATCCATATGAAACGTATGATTAAGAACCAAATGAATAGAAAAAAATAAGGTTCATTACCAACAATGTAATGATTACAAATGTGAGTATAAATAGATGTAAGAGGGTGTAGAATGAGCCAGAAAAAAAAAATTTAAAAGGCGAAGTGGAAGAGAGTTGTGGGAAGAAGAATACAGTCGTGAGGGTTCAATTTGTCTACTTTTAAATATTATGGTAAGGGAGAGGAGACCTTTATCTTTGACAAAATAACTGACTTAGAATACAATCCTTCTGGTAGTGTATGTTGCTAACTGGTGGGGGAGAATTAAAGAGATATGAAAAAGCTATGTCACATGAAGACAAAGATAAGTGGTATAAAGCCATGTAAGAGGAGACGAAGTCCTTACATTAGAAGCATAAAACTGAGTTGGTGAAGTTTCCCTAAGGTAAGAGGTAACTTAGAAATAAATAGGTGTTCAAGTTGAAATTAGAGAGAATGGCCATAACTAAGGAACAAGGCAAGGTTGGTTGTAAAGGATTTTAGTTGAAAGAAAGGAGTTGATATTGAAGAAATATTTTCACCTGTGGTCAAGATGTCTTCAATTAAAGTTCTACTTGGCCTAGTAGCTAATTTAAACTTGGAGGTTGAGCAACCTAAAGGTTTTGCAGTCAAAGGAAAAGAGAAGCTCATCTACAAATTAAAGAAGAGTTTGTATGGGCTCAAACAAACTCCAAGGCAATGGTATAAGAAATGTGATTCCTACATGATGAATCATAAGTATGACAAAACCTCTTTTGATCACTATGTGTTTGTGAAGAAATTTCCTAATGGAAGATTTATTATTCTCTTGCTTTATGTGGATGACATGTTAATTATTGGTCATGACATGGCACAGATTCAAAGTCTTAAAAAAGAGTCAAATAAGTTGTTTGCAATGAAGGTTTTTAGGTCCTACAAGGAAAATTTTTAGCATGAAGATTATCGGTGATAGCAAAAATGATAAATTGTGGCTATCACAACAAATTAAAGTACATTGAGAAGGTATTGGAGAGATTTAATATGGGCAATTCTAAGTCTGTTAGTACTCTACTTATTGGTCACTTCAACTTAAGCATCAATCAATATCCTACAAGTGAGAAAGATAAATAAGAAATGCAAAAGATTTTGATGCATTTGTTGTTGGTAGTTTAATGTATGAAATGGTGTGTACAAGACTAGATATTGCTTATGATATTGGTGTAGTTAGTTATTTTCTCTCTATTCTCGGTAAAGAGCATTGACAAGTTATGAGGTGGACTTAGGTATCACAAAGGCACTTATTGAGTGTTTTTTTTTTTTTGTGTTTGGAAGTGTTGACTCTGTGTTGAATGCTTACTTAGATGTAAATATAACTAGTTATGTGGATTCCAATAAGTATACTTTTGGTTATATAATGACTTTTAGAAGGGGAGTAGTGTCTTGGTAGTCTATATAGCATAAATATGTTGCTTTATATTCTACAAATGTAAAATGTATTGTCATTATAGAAGCTGCTAATGTGCTCTTGTGGATGCAGAAATTCCTATAGGAGTTGAGACTTTCACAAGAAAAATATGTTTTATACTATGATAGTCAAAGTGTAATCCATCTAAAAAAAAACTCGATTTTTCATTCAATATCAAAACATATTGAGGTTCGGTATCATTGATATATAATGCATTCTAGATGAAGCAATTATCATTGGAGAAAATTCATACTAATGACAATGGCTCAGTGGTTGAAAGATGGCACAAGAAAATTCATACTAATGACAATGGCTCAAGAAGATCGTCCATAATGAAATTAGACTAGTATTTAGTATATGATACATACTTCATTGAGTGAAATTAAATTATAATAGTTGACAAGTATTGAGATGTTTTCATTTTTAATTGTTTTGGCAGGCTTTGGTGGGCTAGCCTGCCAACTTGCAATTTTATACTTTGATAGTGAAGCTTCTCAACTCTGCTCCAAACTTGCAATTTTATCTTTCTCTTCATTTTTATCACAATATAATCAAATCTATTACATTTCAGGAGATGTAAAAAATCCTTGTATAAAAAATTTACGATCTTAATAAATACCAAACTTTCTAATTTTTCCTCCACCAGTAATAAGTTATGGTGATAGAAAGTTATATATTAATATAAACTCAATCTTTGTCGTCATTTCATGTATCACGTTTATTGCTTTTTCCTAAATTTTATGTTGGATAAAATTTTATGATACATATTTTTTATATGAATTTAGCGTATTTAAAGTAAAATTTCTAACTTACATGGAAAAATTAGGTATATAAATCACATAATGGGAAATAGGACATGGAAAAACAATGTATTAACAATGATATGAGCAAAATAATTTTAAATATTAACAAAGCTAGTACAAAAAATTATGTAGTTCGTACCTGTTGCTAAGCGTTTCCAGAATTTGTAGTTGATCTTCGAAATAACTGCAATTTGTGGAAATTTCATCTAACATTATATGTATATAACTATGTCATTTAAAAAATAGAAAAAAATAAATTTACATGAGTACCTGATTTAGGGAGTTTCCTTTCATCTATTTTACCATTTTCTAAATCTGTTTTATGTTTAAACAAGCAAAGAGTTTCACCGTCTTCAATTTCATATCCATCATCAGGAAGCACTATTGCCAAATCATAACCAATCAACATTAATTACAAATATAAAGAGTGATATAGTTGTGAGATAATAATGCAAATAAGGGGAAAAAAGAGTAATTCTTATTATTATATTGGATTTTAATTACTCAATTCAATTATTATTATAAAATATTTTTAATTGAATCACATGAATCAATATAAATAGTTGTTTGTTGATTTTATTAAATTTATAAAATAAATCATGATATACCAATTTTATCTTTATTATTTCATTAAAATTTCATGAGATGCACCAATATCAACCAATTTGATAAATAACACTTGGGCAGTTTAATAGACAAGAAAAAGAATATTTATTTCTCATTTTTTTCTCATTATCCAACAATGAGAAGCACATATTCTAATAACTATATATATTTAATACTAATAAAAGATGAAAAATAAAATTAATGTTTTATAAAAATTTTAAAGTGCTTTTAAAAAATGATTATAATTTTTCTTCTAAATTCTGCTTTAAAATAAAGACCAGAGTGAGTAGAATTTTAAGTAAAAGTTAAGGTTTGAGTAACTATATTATCATACCATCTACTATAAATGTTAATGACAGATATAGAAAAAGTACATGTATATATGAGGCTCTTTATTAGTCCCATGTGAGCATGGCTTCGAAAAACCTGTGGCATTTTGGAAAGTAATTGAAGACATGTTGATCCTTTCTCATCCTTTTCAAGTGCAAGTTCTTTATCCATTCTTACTAACCAAATTGCAACATCTGTCAAAGAAGGTTATGCAATGTATTAGAAGTTACATAAGTAACAACCCTTTCTATTATGATAATTTCTTACAGAGGCAATATACCACCTATGTTATTGTCATTCTTTTAATATAAAATCAATGTTTTGTTTCCTAATGCAACAAATGAAATCAATGTTTAACTTTTATGCATCAATTTGAATATGGTATATTGGTATCAAATTAATTATTTGGGCTTTTGCCCTTTTTTTTATCTTCTCCCTCATGGAAGGACCTTCTCCAAACCATGTCCATGGTGTTTAATGCAACTTTGTCCCACGTCAAAATCTTATTAGCTTCTATTATCTTTACCATGCGAGAATACTGGCATTCTTATTTATCCTCCTTTTGAATGGTAACAATTGTCAATATTGGAACAAGGCAATGATGACCTATGCTTTTTGCTATCTAAGAAAAATCCATCTTGTTAATGGCATTGCCTTTATAGTATTGAATGGTAATTCTTGCAAGATACCCAATAATATTTACTTTTTATATATACCTTCTTTGCAAGATACCCTTCAAAAAAGATGTTTTCTTTTCTCTCAAATTAGAGAATTAAATAAGAGAAATATTCCTTTTTCTTTCCTTGCTTTTTTATTTCTTCAATTTTCAATTATACAAAAAACAAAGGTTAGTGACATGTTATGAATAATTTAAGCCATAAGAAAGGGTGAAAAGTGAATCTTCCTTAAGCAGGCTTTTTATATTCACATCTTATTCTTAATATCTTGCAATCATCTTTCTCATAAATTGATATTGTTTGTTCAACACATGATTGTATTTTATCTTTTTTATCGCATGATTGCGTACCAATACATTTTCCAACATAACTTTTTTTTTTATATATAGAAAAAGTATATTTAGACAACTTAATGTTAGGAGACAACTTATTGCCACAAAGTGAGAAAAGTAAGAAAATATAGCTATAATAGATAATACGATGTGATATAGGGGAAAAAAAGTGAGAGACATTGATGAGATGCTTAAACATATTACGATATCAAAAAATTATTGCTTAAACTGACATATGTATTATTGGTTAAAAATTTAATGAATGATAAAGTAAAATTCGTGATAGATCCATAAATAGAAAGAGATAAATAGATAAATAGAAATAAATGGATAGAGAGATAGAGAGAGAGATATACCGAAATATTGACCAATGACACTAGCGTGAAGAGCAGAACAATATTCAGATCTATGTAGATGTTTTCGAAAATTTCCCATATTATGTGTGGCTATACGATTTGCCATGTGCTTTAGCATCTTTAGCTTTCCGTACATGGCAGCCATGAAAAAAGGGGTTTCACCTCGTCGGTTTTTGTGCTCAATTAATGATGCCCTTTTTTCTACACCATCTTCTACTTCTTCTTCTTGTTGCAACAACTCATCTTCCTTCTCAAACACAACATCAGCCATTTGCACCTTTTTACAAAACACAATCTCATGCAAAATCGTGTTCCCTTGACGATTTTCCATGTACATGGCTTGCCACCTATCTTCTATAGGCACCATTTCTATTAGTTCTTTGAGGAGTTTAGGGTTGTTAGAGCGAGTTGCAACGTGGATGGCGTTGTTCCCAAATAGGTCAAACCACTTGAGCAAGTTTTCCTTGTCTTCCTTCATTATTTTCTTAAACTCTTCCCATCGATTAGCCATGGCTGATTTTTGAGCCAATTTTGTTTTCTCACTAAACAGTGGAATTTCTTCTCTTCTCTCTATTTCTCTCTCCTCCATTTCACTCATTCTTTAGGATTCAACATATATCCAAGATAAGTTACTAGTACTTATAAAGAGAGATCGATCTAGTAATTGTATCAACTACAACACACTAATATACAATCATATACATATAAATGAATAATCTCTTTATCTTTTTCTATCTATTTATAAAGAGAGGACAAAATACGTGTTATTCAAGTGAAAATATTTAATTACTAGTATTTTAGTGTGTTATTATATAATTAAAAGTTATAATAAATTATATATAAATAAATGTTATGTTTAAATATATAAATTATATTTAAAATTTAAATAAATAGATATTTTTAAATATATAAATTATATTTTAAATTTATAATAAATAATTTATATTGTAGTACAAGGTTATTTTTATTTATTGATAATTTATTTTTAAAATATTAAAATTTAGTTTATAAATATTTATTATAAATAAAAATTGAATGAAATATGTAGTTAAAAATTCTTAAAATCATTATCGTCAAAGAAAAATTCTTTAAAATATTCTAACATAAAATAATCATGTGTGTTTAATTTGTGTTTAATATATAAGAGTTGACTATTAAAAATATAAATAATAAATATATACTATTCAATTGTATTTGAATGATAAATATTAAAAATAAATGCATACAAGAGAAGTGACTTAACCAACAAATGTTTTTTTAGGAAATTATGATATTCAAAGTAACTGAACATAGTAACTCTTTGTATACTTCATTCAAAAAAAAAGTATGTCTTTGTAATTAGTTTTAACATACAAACTGTTAAATAAAAAATTTTATTGAGTAAATGTAGTTAATTTATAAGTTTTAGCAAAAACAAATTGAATTCTGTCATTTTTTTTAAATATTTTTTATATTTTATTAATAAATTTATCTTATCATATTACTACTACAGGAACGCAAATCTACATCGATTCTGGAAGGTGATTTACATCGGTTTTATAACCGATGTAGAATAGAGCGACGTAGTAATAAAAAAATTTCTACATCGATTTTTTAAATCGATGTAGATTTTCGCAAAATCTACATCGATTGTGAGGAAACCGATGTAGAGTGGAACGAAAATCTACATCAGTTTTAAATAGAACCGATGTAGATTTGCGTTCAAATCTACATCGGTTTTCCTCACAACCGATGTAGATGTGGACTCAAATCTACATCGGTTCTAATTAAAATCGATGTAGACTTTATTGTAAAAAAAAATTCTGTTATTTTTTTACATTCTTTGTGGGTTACCTGTATAAACATATTTTATTTATAACACCAAACCAAAACCCAGAAATGCAATCAATTGGATAGGACCATTCTATTGCTGCAGCCATTGTGTATTGAATTTTGATGTTTATGTTCAAATTCTAGCCAGTAGCCACTAATGCAATGAATTCTCTCCCTTAAACAATTTTGGAACCTTCCTCCATAAACAGAAATCTCCTATACTAACCAACATAACCAAATTCCATGAATCAAAAACCGGAAGAAATAGAAAAACAAATCAATACACACATGTAGATTATACCCACTTAAATAACTTATATTTGTTATGAAGGATGATTCAGATAGTTTCTCTCAAGGTTTACTTAGTAGTTTTAGAAAAAAATTCTGTTTCCATCAACAAAAAATAACTGTCTATTTTTTCCATTTCAAGAACAAATTCTCTTCAGCAATTACAGTATGATTAGTTAAATATTTGTGACATAAAATTCAATATATCTTGAATTATGAATAACATTTACTTTAATACAGTTCAATATTCCGCACATAAAATGTTTCTAGTGTAGGTTGAAGATCATAAGTAGTTTATCTGTCAGAAGTCAGAACAACCCATGAGAAAACAATTGAGTCAACTTCATTTCTGATATAAGCTCGTGATTAAAACTTTCTAACCTGCGTTTAAAATTTTCAGCTTCTTTCATGCATTGGGGTAATCCTTACCAAAACTACAAAGCAAAGTTATTGAAAATCATAAATGAAATATACCCATTTTACCATATTGTGACTTTTAAGCTTTGTAGTTTGTGGCAATCTTTATGGCTTATGAGAAGTCTACCCTTAAATCCAATGTTGAAATATTGCTAATGATTTTGTTTTTGCAGGACTAGTATAGATGCACGTGATATGGGTGATGAGAAGGATCAACAAGAGAGAAGGATGAAGGCAGATTTTGTTCAACAGTTGGTGTTCTCAACCATAT